CTTGCCCAGAGTCACGTGGAGGAGGGGTGGGCTGGAACCTGAGGCTCTGGCTCCAGCCCAGCGTCTGTCTTCCTATATAGTACAGTGCCCCTCCAGTGAATTAGATGCCAGGGGCCAGACCTCACTCGGAACAACCACGCCGCGTTGAACTCTAGTGAGTCTGGCACAAATGTCTGGACTCCTAATTCAAGGATTAAAAATGCCAAACACACTAGAGTGCGGTCTTTGAGTTAAAAACAAGTTTGCAGAAAGTTGGACCAAATGAGCATGGAGTAGTTTGCACAGGAACTCTTTTCGTCAGTCAAGTGGCCAGAAATGCTCTCTCCCCTCGCACAATAGAGAGCACTGTAACGTTTTGCTCCTATAGCTTACAATGTAATTGTACGAAGTGTGGCAACATCAATGACAAGCAGATGGCAAATTAAGTCTTCTTTGTCATAGGACAAATAACTTAAAAATATGGAGTTTTATTGGTAAACAATGTCAGCATTTTCTAAGCGGATTTTTATTTTTCCTAATGTAGAAAAAAATGTTCATTCAGCCTGAATGCAGCAACTGATTGCTCCAAATGCTGACCTTCAATACAAGACAATGTGCTGGAATTAGATACAGAAGGGATAAAGTGAGCAATTTTATAACTTAATGTGAAATAAGTCTCTTCTTGTCTTAGGAATTAAACACAGGAAAGGAAAAAAACCCAACTCTTATTTATAGTAATGCCATTCTATTATAATACTCCCTTAACATTGAAGTGTTACAGGATGCTTTTATCATTTAGCAGAGCAAGGTCTGCAGCTCTACTCCTCCTATTATTTCATAAACATCCATCGAGCCTCCTCAAAGCCGAAGGCTACTCTGTGGTAATGATGGAAAGCACATTTATTCTGGGCTTCCCATATACTGAGTGGGTAGAGAGTTCTAAAACAGAAAATCATTAGTGGTCAGGTAACTCATTTCCTTGGTAGAACACACGATTAGTCAGTCATCGATCCAAAGGCATTAATTCACAGGCGCATAAACAGCCCTCTCTGTGCCAATCGTTTAGAAACTCTGCTGTCTGAATTTAAAAAGCAAGTCTTAACAGTCAAGAAATTCTTAATACAATGCACCATGCCAAAAATTATACGGGAAACCAAGAAATACCTGGGGCAGGATAATGCCATTTGAGTTAAAATTAGCAAGAAAGCACACATGTATGTACGGCCGTATGTGGTCAAACTAAAGGCCACCCAGACATGAATAAGAACTAACCTTTGGTGATGGGTTCTGGGTGACTTTGGTATTTTCCTTTTTGCTTGACTGCATGTTAGGAGCCGTGGTAAATGACTATGTATTGCTTTAAAGGGTTTTTATGTGTTGCTTTTGGAAGAAGATATACAAGACACAGTCCCTGCTTCTGGTATTTGGGGAGTCAACAATCCTGATGGGGAGGAGTGACGGAGACTGGACTTAGGAGGGACTGACTACAGACATCATTTGTTTCTTTTCTTACCCAGCTTATCAAAAACCGTATTTTCATGTTTATAATGCAGTAAGTTGAGCCGACATTCCACGAACATTCCGAAACGGAATTTATTCAACTACTAACACTCAGTGGAAATGAAGACTTCTGTAGGCTTGTCAATCCTGCATTTATAACGCTTTCTGTGGCAAAATGCATTTTAATTTCCAATACGTAACTTCACAGTTGAATTTTTGGAAAATTATTCAGTAATATGGGAAGCACTTAATGCTTGCCTTGGCGTACGGAAATAATAACTCACGTTTACTCCTGATTTGCTGCATGCTTTATTTCATTTTGCCCTACAACAGCCTCATGTGGGAGATTTTATTATTACTCCCATTTTACAGACATGGAAACCAAGGCACAGAGATCACAAAACTTATTAAGGTCAATAATATGCAAAGTCTGAAGCCAGGCAGTCCAGATCCAAATCCTGCCACCCAGCTCCTTCTTATCAATTTCATGTGCTGTGGGTGCGGCACGTAAGAGTGATTAAAATGTTTTGATGGTGTTAAGTCCAGATAAAGTCAACATATTTCAGTACTGTGACCAAATAAAATAAAAACTACAACTGAACATAACTGCTTTCGTACAAGTAAATTAAAGGAAGCCCTGCACAGGTATCTGGAGCAAAAGTCAACAATTTTTTCTGCAAAGGGCCAGAAAGTAAATATTTGAGATTTGCAGTGTCTGTTACGACTCCTTAGCTCTACTACCGTAGCGCGAAAACAACCAGAGACAATAACTAAACTAATGAGCGTGGTCCCGTTTGAACAAAACTGCTGTTAAAACAATGCTGGTGGGAAAATTTTGTCAGCCGTAGGTCACCACGCCGATCCACAAGTTACATAAGTAAATAATAATGTAATGTGTATTTCAAAATTGCTGAGTGTAGATTTTAAATGTTTACACCACACATGGTAAGTATGTGAAGTGATGGGTATGTTAATTAGCTTGATTTTATTATTCCAAAATGCATATACGTATTAAAACATCACATTGTTGGGCAGGGTGGCTCACACCTATAGTCCGAGCACTTCACGAGGCCTAGGCAGGTGGATTACTTGAGCTCAGGAGTTTGAGACCACCCTGGGCAACATGGTGAAACCTTACCTCTACAAAAAATACAAAAAATTAGCCAGGCATCGTGGTATGTGCCTGTAGACTAGCTACTCGGGAGCTAGACTGAGGTGGGAAGATCACCTGAGCCCAGGAAGCGGAGGTTGCAGTGAGCTGGGATCGTGCCACTGCACTCCAGCCTGGGTGACAGGGGAAGGCCCTGTCTTAAAAAAAAAATAAATAAATAAAAATAACATTATATCCCACAACTGTATAAGATTACTCTTTGTTATTTAAAAAAAAGTAACTTTGGAAGGCCAAGGAGGGCAGATCATGAAATCAGGAGATGGAGACCATCCTGGCTTACATGGTGAAACCCCATCTCTAAAAAAGTAAAAATGAAATTAAGTAATAAAAATACTTACTTACTTATTATTTATTTATTAAGAGACAGAGTCTTGCTCTGTCTCCCAGGCTATAGTGCCATGGCATGATCTTGGCTCACTACAACCTCTGCCTCCCAGGTTCAAGCAATTCTCCTGCCTCAGCCTCCCAAGTAACTGGGATTACAGGCATACTCCACCATACCCCACTAATTTTGCATTTTTAGTAGAGATAGGGTTTCGTCGTCTTGGCCAGCCTGGTCTCAAACTCCTGGCCTCAAGTGATGCACCCGCCTCAGTCTCCCAAAGTGCTGTAAAAATAAAATACATTTTTAAAATGATGCTGTCATAATGTAGCCAATAAATCCAAATACATCTGTTAATCCTTGAAAGCAGAGGTTTAGTTTTAACCACACAGGTATTCATACAATTCCCGTACAGCAAATAAGAAACAGCAGAGTACCGGTCAGAATGGCGCAAATGCTTTGGAATAATGCTGTTAATTATTTAACAGTATGGTTTGCTAAACACCTGTTAAGTTGAACCCCCCTACTTACCAGCGAGGGGACAGGCAGTCCCTGCAAAAGTTATTATTGCATAGGTTCCAGTGCTTTTGGCAATAGTCCAACAAGCAGGCTAAGCAATGATAGTATGCCACTGATGTGTGAAAACTACTCCTCCCCAAGCTTTTCGGTTAAATTTCTAAGGTGTATACTGCATCAGTGGCAGAGGCTCCACTCTTTAATAGGTCATCCACGACACCGCCGGCATCCAAGGGAAACCTTCCGGCACGATTACACAGATTCAACACAGAGCCTCGCACGCCCACGGCTAACTCTCACAATCGTTTCACTAGTGTATCTCTACACAGGTGCCTCGAACAAAACTCTTCCATCCTATAGGAACTTAAGCAAATATCACAGCTCCCTGTTGATAACGAAGTCAACACATACTTGAACCAAATTTCCATTCTGCATTTTTTAAAGCTCTATAAAAAATGGCGTCTGGCAATCTAAAATTAAAACATAAAGAACAACTCAAGAATGTCAGGCATTCTCAACAGTCGACCTTCACTTCTCACATTTCCTTTAGTATACATTAAAATGCAGAAGAACTGGCAAAAATTTGAAGCGTTTTAAGTCCAGACTTAAATGTCTCTGCTTTGTAATCAGGACGCATTATTGGTGGAACTCTTTGCAAACCAGGACTTCTTCTAGGAAGAGCAGAGGTTTTAGCTACTACGTGCATGACTGGAGCATGTCAAAGGGACAATATTATGTATTAAAATAGATAAATACTGGTTGCATCTTTACTTTGTGAAATGCCAGGAGAATAATCTGGCACCATCTTTGCCCTTTGCACAGCCGGAACTAAGTGATATAAACATACAAAACCGGCCAGGCGCGGTGGATCACGCCTGTAATCCCAGCACTGTGGGCGGCCGAGGCGCGGTGGCTCACGCCTGTAATCCCAGCACTTTGGGAGGCCGAGGCGGGTGGATCACGAGGTCAAGAGATCGAGACCAGCCTGGTCAACATGGTGAAACCCCGTCTCTACTAAAAATACAAAAAATTAGCTGGGCGTGGTAGCGCGTGCCTGTAATCACAGCTACTCAGGAGGCTGAGGCAGGAGAATTGCCTGAACCCAGGAGGCTGAGGTTGCGGTGAGCCGAGATCGCGCCACTGCACTCCAGCCTGGGTAACAACAATGAAACTCCGTCTCAAAAATAAATAAACAAACATACAAAACCTCATTCTGAGATGCTAAAAATGATGTGTGCACACAGTATCCATTCAGACTTTCAGATGGCTCTTCTCAAGCCAGGAATAAAGCCCCAAGTTCAATTTTTATTCTTATTTTTTATAATAGAGACAGGGTCTCCCTGCATTGCCCAGGATGGTCTGGAACTCCTGGGCTCAAACAGTCCTCCTGCCTCAGCCTCCCAAAGTGCTAGAATTGCACAGGTGAGCCACTGCACCCAGCATAAAGCCACAATTTAACTGCGGACATAGTAATACCACTTAGAAATATCCAAAGCAGCTCATAAAGGATACAAAAATGTAGTCATCCATGTATCTCTTCTTTAGATTCTCCACGATGGAGTTCTCCGTGATCTTGGAGAGCAGCACCATGTCGTCCACACCACTGTGCTTCACATTGTGGCTTTGCCAGTGGTACCGGTAGGCACCTTTGCTTCCCTGGGAACACAAAACACATAATTAGTTGGATAGTTTATTTTCCCCTGTAGTAAGAGAGAAAATGCTGCTGATTTCCCAAATACAGTGTTGTAGACTGAGCAGGGCAGAGAAAGGTTCTGCAAGCAGTAAGATGAGGATTCAGCTTCCAGCCCTGCCACCTACAGACTAAGTAAAGTGGGGGAAAGCCTCCTAAGCCCACTGTGTCACTGAAGTTCTCTTTTCTCACTTGTAAAATGGGAGACAGACCCACTTCGTAAGGTTGTTGTAAGAATTAAGTAAGATAACATGTGCGAGGTGCTCGACAGTCTCAGGAATGGAAATCACAGGGTCAGTGACCTCTGATGTCCGCTTCCCTCATACTGTTCTGTTGAATTTGCCTGTGAAAATAAGCAATGACACAGAAACTTCCTAGTCTCATTTCGCAAAAATCGCAGGACATAACCCAGAAGTGAAAAGAGTATGTATCACACAATGACTATGTCACACGGTCGTAATTCCTCAAATTATCTAAATTACTTTCCCTTCATAAACGTATCACTGTCATACGTGCCACACTGGCCTTCTATATTCAAAAGATAGGCTGCATTTTTATGACTGATGACTGATCTGCCAACGAGGACGTGGACAGGACTCACAAAACGAGATCACGGAACACACCCTGGAGAGGAAGACCTCACCCCGCGTGGGCCCCTCGGGTAGATGAAGCTGTGGCCCTTATTTTCCTGTGGCGGCAGCCTCTGAACACTCTGTGGCCTGCGAGGCTTCCTTTCATTTGGCCTTTCTGTAGTGGGGTCCCCCACGTGTTGAGCTCTGTGCCAAGTTCTTGTGGCACACTTAGGGAGCTTAAAGTCCCATGAAGACACCTAGATAATGACGGAACAAAGTGATTCATGAGCCCTTGGGAGCTCAAAGTCTTTTGAAGGATACCTAAAGTGATTCATGCGTCAGTGACAGTCAGCATACACACACATAAACTGGGTGTTCCAGGAGGGAAGGGTGGGCCACTTTGTCCTGAGAGAGGCGGAAGAAATGACCTCCCAGAAGAGGAGCCACGTGAAGTAAGTCTAAGATATTCAGAATTCGCCGAAGGAGACCAGGGGAAGAAGGACGTACATGATCATCTATATTTAACAAGCAAAAACGCCAGTAAGGACAGAGTGATGGCAAGTATTACAAGACAATGTTGGAAGACCCTGCCTGGCCTTGAAACACTGGCATTCTACTGGGAGCGTTGCCAGTGGGTAAGTGCAGTGGGCACTGAACTGGGTGAGACTCGCCCCTGCCCCCGCCCTGCTCACTGCTTGGGGGAGTATGAATGAAGGAGAGAAAAATTCTGATTAAGGGTATCTACAAAGGCCAACTGCTCAGATATCAAAACTAGGATGAAAAAAGGATGAACTAGGCTTTTTGAGAGGAGAAGACAGAAAGAAGATGCAAGCCATTTCAGATTTTATTTAAAAATTCGTGCCTGGGCGCGGTGGCTCAAGCCTGTAATCCCAGCACTTTGGGAGGCTGAGGCGGGTGGATCACGAGGTCAAGAGATCGAGACCATCCTGGTCAACATGGAGAAACCCCGTCTCTACTTAAAAAAAATACAAAAAATTAGCTGGGCGTGGTGGCGCGTGCCTGTAATTCCAGCTACTCGGGAGGCTGAGGCGGGAGAATTGCCTGAACCCAGGAGGCGGAGGTTGTGGTGAGCCGAGATCGCACCATTGCACTCCAGCCTGGGTAACAAGAGCGAAACTCCGTCTCAAAAAAAAGGAAATTCATTACATTGCTTACTCTTTTTCCTATGGGAAACACAGATCCTTTGCTAAGCACAAGTTCTAAGAGGCCCTGGGAAAAGCCATCTTTTAAAATCAGCCAAGACGGGGCTACCACAGGAAAAGTGTACCGTGTGATGGGTTCCCGCTCTGGAAAGGGGTTCTGGAAGGCTTCCCGCCCATGCTGTCCTGCAGAGGAAACTTCTCTATATCTGGCATCCTCAGAACCGCTTGCAGCATCAATTCTACAGAATTACCTCAGACCTCACCACTCCTTCTTCCTCTTGTGGCAAAGCAGAAAGAGAAAAAAGCGTTGACCACAGCGTGACTCACTAGATTTCCACTGAATGCCCGTGGTCCGCTTCCAGCCACAGAATTCCCGGTGCTTCCTCCTCTCCTCACCTCCTCACCGTTTTCGGCTTTCTGGGTACCTACAGTTGCTCTGCACAGAAAACTAAGGTTCTAGAGTAACCAACCTGCAGGGTGGTTGGCTGGTTGGTTTTTAACCCTCACAGATACCTAAAAACGTAACCACGGTTGAACAAAACACAAAGGCTATTAAGAAGTGCTTCTTCAGCTTCTGTGAGGGACAAGAAACATTAAAGCCCTGTGTCATGGTGTGTGTACGTACACTGATCCACAGAACCCGCCTTCCCTGCATGACCGCAAGTCGGTCTCAATATCAAACCCAAAGGTCTTTTCTCTGCCTCACCGCACGGGAACACACTCCTGACTGCCCACCTCAGAGGCTGTTTCCTCCTCTTTCCCATGGGCGTTATTCCCTAGAAGAACTGCACTCAGGGTGGAGTTCACTGACCCTCATGGACACTGAAGATTCCTAGCCCCCGTCTCCAGTGTCCACAGAGGACTCATCTTCCAGCCCGCTATCTACAACAAGGCGACGGCGGTGCCGATATGCAAAGCAATGAGTTACTAGATTTGTGGAGGGTGCTCTACTTACGACTGCCACCAATCCTAGGAGAGCGGGGTTCATACTCCCAAGCTGCATGGGAGGACACGGATCTCCCAGCTAGCAAGGAGCAAAAGCGAGATGCGAACCAAAGACTCCATGACTACGGACGCCTCCAAACGTGTTTTCTTCAGTCTCGTGGATGAATGCCTTACTGCATATTCCTACCTGTTAAGTTTAACATGACCACAGAATGACAGACTGTCTCCAAAACAAAATGTCTCATTAAAAAGACATACAGCCGGGCGCAGTGGCTCACGCCTGTAATCCTAGCACTTTGCGAGGCCAAGGTAGGTGGGTCACCTGAGGTCAGGAGTTCAAGACCAGCCTGGCCATCATGGTGAAATCCCAACTTTAAAAAAAAAAAAAAAAAAAAAGACATACAATTTTTATTCATGACCACCTCCTTTCAGCATTAAAGACTAAAACACTAATGTTATTTTTGATTTGATGCATTTTTCATATCCAACTAGTCATACATCAGTTTCTCTCTCTCTTCCCCCCACCCGCAACTACTGTCCCCCTTCCCATCTCTCCCCCTCCCTAGCCAGACAATTATAGTTAGTTACATATGTGAACTCATTCAACCTTGACAACCACCTCCCCTCATACTACAAAATTACTATCTCTATTTTGCTGCTGAAAAGACCATGAACTGCCCAAGGTTTTCTGGTGATAACTCCTGTCTTTAGTGACCACTCCTCACTGTGCGGTTCTTCTCCACACTCCCCCAAATACCCGCCCAGATGAGGTAAAGGGAGGGAGGAAAGAGCATGCAGGTGGGAGCAACTCAGAGCCTTTGGGAGAAGCTGACCTGTCCAGATCGTCAGGGACAAGGTCAGACGAAGTGGATCAATGAAAGCTGGGCTGGGGCTGAGCTGGAAAGCTCTAACGGAGAGCGATAACATTACCAGGAAAGCTGAACCAAACATGGATGTGCAGGCTCTCAAGCCCAGCCTGGGAAGCTGAAAAGTTCCCCACACTAAAACAAACATATTTTCTGCGGCTGAGAAGGGGACAACAGAGTTTAATACGAGTGTGACTTGTCCAGCGCACACAGTCTCTGCACGAAGCTGCTGAAGCCCAGGAGTAAGCGGGCGGTGTGGTGGGGCATTGTAACCATGCTCCACCTTACAAACTTGTTCTGCGGCTGGGCACCGTGGCTCACACCTGTAATCCCATCACTTTGGGAGGCCAAGGCGGGCGCAACACGAGGTCAAGAGATCAAGGTCATCCGGGCCAACATGGTCAAACCCCGTCTCTACTAAAAAAACACAGAAATTAGCTGGGTGTGGTGGTGCATGCCCGTAGTCCCAGCTACTCCGGAGGCTGAGGCAGGAGAACTGCTTGAACCCGGGAGGTGGAGGTTGCAGTGAGCTGAGATTGTGCCAATGCACTCCAGCCTGGCACCCAGCCACAGAGTGAAACTCTGCCAAAAAAAAAAAAAAGAAAGAAAAAGAAAGAAAAAGATACAAAGTTGTTCTAAGACTCTAAGACAGAAACGACCGCCCAGAATTGTGAGAACACGCATTAGGGCTCTGGAGCAACTGACCCTTTGCACTTGTTCTGCCCCTCCTTTCTTCCGCTACCCCTGCTGAGAGGCAGTGGCAGGTTTGACTGCCATGTGTGCCGGGAGGAGGACAGAGGAGATGGTTCCTCATCGGGGCGACGACAGTCATTCTCTGCAGAGGCACTGTTTGTCAGACTGCCACCTCTCAAGACACTCGAGTGAGCTTCATTTTTGAGTTAACTCCCTTTTGCTTCCCCCACTAAAGATGGCACCATTTTAAACAGGTGGATACTCAGCAAAGTATTTCATTTCCCAGCAGCTCCTGGTGAGCGCAGCACGCTGTGCAAAGGGAGGAGGGCAGTGGCAGGCGTGCCGGCTAAGATAGGAGCATAGTAATAACGATAATGAGAAGTTATTCTTAGCCTTGATGCTTCCTCCAAATTATGAGGGGGAAATTTCCATAAGAGTGCAGACACTCTCAGATCCATGTTCGGTTTCTAAGGATGATGTAGTTCATTAAAAAGCAGTTGATTCATGGACAAGTTCCGGAACGTAGGGGATGCCCCTATCCACCTCGTAGCCTGCTTTGTCGCTAATGTTTAATAGGCGGCACCCAAACACCAGAGTCCCTCACACAGAGGAAGAACTTGGCTTTGAGGCTGGGCATCTCAGCTGGCTGATTCCCTGACTGATTTTTTTTAAAGGTGGAACCTCACTAACTGGTGTGTGTTTACCAGGGTGGGGACCAGGAAGAGCA